TTTGTGGGTTGCCAGCTGAAGTAAGGGATTCAGTTGTACTCAGGGTCTTGAGGTAATGTATAGATCATATGGGTACCTTGAGGGCAATGCTGATAGCCTAGTTTTCCTTGAAGCCCATGAAGGAAGGGGCTAAGTACAGGCCACAGGGATCTAGAGCTTCAGAGACAGACAGGACCAACATGATCTTACAGTGAGACCTGCTCACGCAACAGCAGTACAGCTCTACCCGCCATCACGTTTGTGACTGTGCTGTAGCAATGAATGGTAAGGGCACAACGCCTCTTCCTGACACTTCTGTTGTAAATGTTTGATGAAGGAAAGAGAGATTCTGATTTGGATATGCCAGGGCTGAAATAGATAAGCAATCATTTTGAAAAATGAGTGTACGCACATGAAAGCACCCACGCATGCAGTTAAACCTCCCATCCAAGGAGAGGTAAGTCTGGTGTTGATTGTGTTCATGCAGTAAAATTTCCATGGAATTGTTTTTCTTGGATGAAAAACACAAACAACTGTTTCAACGCGCTTCATTTTAATGTCCATTTTATTGTAATTATCTTGGCATTCTCATCTTGTTTTGGCACTATAAACACCTGTGCTTGAAAACCCTAGGCAACATAAATAAAAAGAACATCTTGTTACAACAACATCTACAGAAAATGAGGCTGGTGCAAAACATGATACTTGCAGCTTTTCAGCTCCCATGTATCCACACAGAAATCAGTAACAAAGGTTATGTATCCAAAGTGTTAAGTCTTTCTGTGTTCATCATTATTGTTCATATGTCACAGGAGCACAGAAAGGATGTGCTACATGGTAAAAGTCTTGACTGGAGCAACAGTCATACTTACTACACATTTCCTGTATAACTTTGAGTAAACCACTTAATCCTTTCACCTTCTTATCATCTATAGTATACTACACCCATAATATCAGAAAGTAGAAATAAGTCCTGTTCCACAAGAATAACATAGAGAAAACAACAACCTTGTACTTAGGTACACAAGGATAGGTGGCTAAAGCCACAAATATTGTCCATTCCTAACCTTTAAAAAAGCCTTTAAATTCCTACTTTTTGGATATGGACTGTAGAACTTCAAAAGAGCACAGTGGTAGGTTCCATAAATAGGTATGGAAACAGAGATTGTTTAAAAGCAAAATCAAGGAAATAATATTATTCTCATTTTTAGGTAAGTAGCTGAGATGAAGGTCTTTTAAGAATCCTGCCTTCATCAGATGAAGACTCTAGAATAGTGGTGGGAAGTTAACCCAGAGCCCCTGAGTTATCAGTCCTTTAAGTACACAGTCTCCAGCAGGATATACAGGGAGGGAAGACAAGGTGGCATCCCAAGAATTTTGGATTGTAATAGGATTCAGGAGGGAAAACTGTTCTTTCACTGGCCTTTATTGACAGATCCAGTAAAAAGCAGTGGAAGGAAATCCTCTTAAACTCTGCTTAAGCTAAGGATTTAAAAGATGAGCAGCAATGGGCCAATCCCATTACTAAACTTAACACTTGGAAAAAAAATTCTTTGGAAAAAAGTTGTTGCATCTCTGTAGCTCCTGCTGTCACCACTCAGAGGAAAAGAAGGGGTGGCACTGCAGCATGAGATTTTAATCAGATACACAGCTTTGACATGGGCAGAGAGAGGCCTGGAGGTTCACAGTATCACAGTATGCTAGAGATTGGAAGGGATCTCGAAAGATCATCTAGTCCAATCCCCCTGCCGGAGCAGGAACACCTAGATAATGTTACACAGGAATGTGTCCAGGCGAGTTTTGAATGTCTCCAGGGAAGGAGACTCCACAACCTCCCTGGGCAGCCTGTTCTAGTGTTCCGTCACCCTCACTGAGAAGAAGTTTCTTCTCAAGTTTAAGTGGAACCTCTTGTGTTCCAGTTTGTACCCATTACCCCTTGTCCTATCATTGTTTGCCACTGAGTAGAGCCTGGCTCCATCCTCGTGACACTCCCCCTTTATATATTTATATACACTAATAAGGTCACCCCTCAGTCTCCTCTTCTCCAAACTATAGAGACCCAGCTCCCTCAGTCTTTCCTCATAAGGGAGATGCTCCACTCCTTTAATCATCTTCGTTGCCCTGCGCTGGACTCTCTCCAGCAGCTCCCTGTCCTTCTTGAACCGAGGGGCCCAGAACTGGACACAATATTCCAGATGCGGTCTCACCAGGGCAGAGTAGAGGGGAAGGAGGACCTCTCTCGACCTACTAACCACTGCCCTTCTAATACACCCCAGGATGCCATTGGCCTTCTTGGCCACAAGGGCACAGTTTTGGCTCATGGTCATCCTGTCATCCACCAGGACCCCCAGGTCCCTCTCCCCTACACTGCTCTCTAACAGGTCGTTCCCCAACCTATACTGGAACCTGGGGTTGTTCCTGCCCAGATGCAGGACTCTACACTTTCCCTTGTTATATTTCATCAAGTTATTCCCTGCCCAACTCTCCAGCCTGTCCAGGTCTTGCTGGATGGCAGCACAGCCTTCTGGCGTGTCAGCCACTCCTCCCAGCTTAGCTCTCAACTCGCTCGTCATCTGTCCCTGGACAGAACTCAGTGCATTGTAGCTGCTCTCGCACATAAAGAGCAACCCCACCACCCTGCCTGGCTGGCCTGTCTTTCCTGAAAAGGACATAGCCCTCCATGACTGTATTCCAGTCATGTGAGCTGTCCCACCACGTCTCTGTAATTGCCACCAGATCATAGTCTCCTGACTTAACACAGGTTTTCAACTCCTCCTGCTTATTTCCCATGCTGCGCGCATTGGTGTACAGGCATTTCAGGGAGCGAGCTGAGCACACCGATTTCACCCTAGGATTGTAGGAGGCCTCCCAGTCTTCATCAATTCTGGAGTGCTGCCCCACTGCGGCAAGCCCAGCTACAGCCCCATCCCCCTTCAAATCTAGTTTAAAGCTCTCCAAATGAGCCCTGCTAATTCGTGCCCCAGCATCCTTTTCCCTCTGTGAGACAAACCTTTCTCACTTGTCATTGTCCAGAATGGTGCCCTATAAAACCAGCCATTATCAAAGAATCCAAAGCCCTGCCTGTAGCACCAGTTTCGAAGCCAATTGTTTATGAACTGAATCTTCCCATTCCTTCCCACATCATCAGTGGAAGATGGAAGGAGTGAGAAGATCACTTGAGCCCCAGACTCTTTGACCATCCGCCCCAAGGCCCTGTAGTCTTTCTTCATCCCCCTCAGACTGCGGGAAGCAGCTTCCCCCTCACCTGTCTGGAAGACCAGCAGCGGGTAGTAGTCTGTCGGGTGCAGCAGGTTGGGGAGCGCCCTGGTGATATCCCTGATCCGGGCTCCAGGCAGACTACACACTTCCCTATGATGAGGGTCAACTCTGCATATCGGGCCCTCTGTTCCTCTCAGAAGGGAATCACCTACTACAATGACCCTTCTTTCTTTCTCATCAGAGGCAGTCTTGAGGTGCAAAGTCGACCACCTTTTCCTATGTGGCCTTGTGGGCTGGCCTTGCCCCACATTCTCACCTACCTCTCCTTCAAGATCCACGGCCTCGAACCTATTACGGAGGGACACCTGGGGAAGCAGGGCAGGAAGGGGGGAGGGTTGCCCATGACGCCGAACTGGAACACTCGTTCAAGTGACCCTGTTCCAGGAACAAAGTATTAAGTTAGATATGCAGAAGAAATTCTGACAGAAAAGTTGACCTCAGTAATATTTGGTACTTCGACACACAACTAGACATCTTAGGGGCTAACACCTAGACCTTTTTAGCCTATGACAGGAAGAGTTCCATCCAGGAACAATCTGGACAAATGGAAAGAAAACAGCATATAAAGTCTCTCCTCTAGAAAAAAAAAGAGAAAAAGGGTTGAGCCTCAGGGTAATGAGGCAGCTGCAGTGTGTTAGGTGTGGGTGAGAGCACAGCCCATGACTTTTTTGTGTTGTCCCTTTATAATCACGGAAGTTGGTGGAAATGGCTGTGGTGGAAAATGTAAGAGAACTGAGGTCTCATAACCTCCCTGCACACTGCTCTAAGGTGGCACTGCCCTCATGGTGAAGGGATTTCCTGGAGTCCTGAACATCTCCAGCCACAGCTTGTGGCCTTTGCCCCTGGTTGACACTGCCAAGAAGAGCTGGGCTCTGTTGTCTTCACAGCTCCCTCTTGAATAGCAGGGCCAACACTGGGTGCAGTATTTCAGCATTGAGTCTAAATGGACAGTGTATTTCCTTGACCTGCTGGACACATTTCTCTTAATGTAGCCCATTATGCATAAATGTATAATGTAAATTGTATGTAATGTAAAGGTATAATGTAAATTTGCAATGAGAGTATCTTGCTATTTACACACAAATCTACATACACCATGGAATTTTTTTGCTCAATTTACCACAGAAGAAATGACTTGTCTTTGTGGGCATTACACACAAAGTATTGAGTGACCATCAGTGGTACTGAGTGATGTTGCCTGCGTCCTCATCATGAATGAATGAATCCCAGATGAGAAGTGCATTCTCAACAAGGTAAACTGGCAGAGCTTTCAAGCAGTTCTTGTCTCATGTCAGAGGTTTTTCTATGGGAGATGCAGGATGATTTCTGAGACAAAGAAATGTTGTGACTGTGCACCTGGGACTGGAAGGAGCAAGGGAAAACCACCCTCCCCAAATGAATACCCAAAGCAATTTTTTTTTGTTGTGAGCATGGTGTGCCCACACTTTATTTATTTGAGCATCTCTGTGGCCATAGTGGGCAGAAATGGGTGGAAATAATTAAAGGCATTGCTAGGAGTGGCTTAGGGTCACAGCCTGCTATAGGAATAATATTTCATTGTCAGTCTTCCATTGCCTGTTGTGTTGAAATATAAGAGCTAAGCTTTTGACGAACAGCTTTTCTTGGGATGGAAAATTCAAAAGCATGTACTGCTTTGGAGTCTGTATGTAATCTGCCATGGCAGAGCTGAAAATAAGAAAAATATATCCTCAGAATGTTAAGGAAACACGAGGAGTCATGGCTCTAGTGTCTCTCAGCTGGACATTTTAGTGACAATTTCATTCTACTTATTCATCTTTACAGAAAATATCTTCTAAGCCTTGAAAATCAAGGTGCTAGGATACTATGAAGGCCTGCAGCCACACACCAGGAGGACGCTATCTCAGTTGGCATCCCAGGTGGTTGGTGCCACTTCCAGGAACAACTGGAGATGTAAAGTGACTCTCTCTAAGAAGCGAGGGTGGCACTTGAAGCGAACCAGTGGGAAGTAAAGAATGACACCACTGAAAATGAACAGGATGATGTAGAGGATCTCAAACTGGGGTTGATCAATGACGGGAGCTAACACCAGGTACACAGCTGGCATCAGCACGATTATGGGGATGATAATTGGGACCTGTGAAAGCAAAAGATCAGCATAAAGACTCAATTTAACACTGGGCCACTGTGGGTACGGACAACCCTAGAACTTCTGCACAAGGCTCTTTAGATGAAACCCTGGTGCAACTGGAGGTATTAACTACAAATCCAAATTAGTCCAGACATCCTGTTTCCCAGCCCGTCCCCACTCCAAGGTTGGACATCCCTGCAAGAGCAACACCACCACCTAGTCTTCCCTGCCCTCCTAGACTTGAAGATGCAAACTACTGGTGTTAGTGCCAGGCCTGTTTTTGCTCTCCTGACTACTTTGCATCCAAAAGCTGAACTGTAGACAAAACACAGCAATGTGTACGAATCACATAACTGAAATTTAGCATCCTTGGGCAAAAAGGTTTATTTCTTTTTGGATAGGTGGACAGGCAATCTCAGAAGTTATTTCTGTAAGTCTGTTCAGAAAGCATTTAAATTTAAACTTGAAGCCATCCTCCTGAGGCTACTGAATGCACAGACAATGATTTCACAACAAGGTGAAAACTGAATGTTCAAGCTGGAATTTTTCATTTTTTCTTTTTGTGCCTTTTTGTCCAGTAAGTGGAAGACTTAACAGCACATTGCTCTTCTCTGTCATGCTAAGCCCCAGAGGACACTCAATATAACTTCACACAGCTCGGTAGCATCAGCCTGTCATCTACATCCTGAAGGAACCCTTGAAAACCAGGGTGTTCATTCAGCTTGTCTCAGGGAAAAGTCACTGTCCTGCATTCACTTCCTTGGTCACAGAGGAAGCACTGCAGCTTGACTTGCTTAGGGCACCAGGGGGAAGAACAGGTAATTCCTGATTCCCTTCCACTTAGCTGTTTTGTGGGGAGCAAACATGTCCCCTGGACATCTCAAAGGACCTGGGGCATTCTTTTGTCCTCTGCAAGGTTCTTACACCTGGGCTGCCTTTTGAGGAGTGCAACCAAGTTCACAGAGCATAAGCAGATCACATTGTTGGTCAGAATTGTCCTTCATTTTCTTCTTACATCTCTTATAAAAGGTAGATATATTTTCCGCAGTGAGGGGGCAGTGTATTATTAGTTTATCAAGACAGAGAAGCCAGCCTTGACTTATGCTGGTATATTCACAGTATCTTGCCCATTGTTGACAAAACATGAAATTAAAAAAGGAAGGACAACAACACTAAATCTGTAAGCAACCAGCCCCAGTGCTCTTTTTCTCCTCATAATACTCTGTTAGTTATTTGGGAATACAGGAAAAGGGTTTGAGGGTTTATGTTTTTACTTCACCTTATAAGATCTTGGCAGTTCTGGTTTCTTGATTTTTAAATACAGGAGACCAGAAATAGTCATGCCATAGAAAAACCATGCTATTAAACTGGAAGAAAAAGGAAAGAAAAAAAAAGACAAAAAAGACAGCATTACATTTGTGGTGAGATCATCCAGGAATGTCAGCCTGCCTTGCAGATCCCAGATGTTTACATCTCCAATTAAAAAGGAGAATATTGATATAAATGTGGTAGTTCTTCCATTCATTTCCTTTCCGGCCCAATAAGCACTTCAGAATGATCTAAATATTACAGATTCATTTCAATATGAGGATGTATCACATCCAGTTAAGTACACAGTGACAGAAGCATTCATGCATTGCAAAAATGCTGGTTCCTAAGCAATTCCTTTTCTTTCTTTCCCCTCTCCTCAGTGTTGGTTAGAAAACAATAGCCCCTGCTCAGAAAAACATTGAAAGAAAATACTTCTAAACAATTCAAAACCCAGGACGCAAGCAGAAATGCTACATGTACATACCTGAAAAAGTTCACAATGGTGGTGAAGTTTCCTGATATTATCATTATTAAAGACGTGGCAGATGTAAATAGCAGAGCAGGGGAGGGTGTGAGGCATCGCATGAGAGCCATAGACAGAATGTCTGGCTGAAAGCTAAAAAAAACCAATATACAATTATATCATGTACTTGGAGATCCTTACTCATCCACCTCTGCTGCTGGTGGGAACTCTGCCTGTTGCCAGAGCCACTCATGATCATCAAATAAGCACAATATAAAAGCCGCTCAAGTCCAAGGAGTAAACACGGAAACTCCCTCAAGGATGTTTTCATTGTGTCTCACTGATTTCCTACCAAATATGCTCAGTTTAGGCAGGCAAGATAAGGTTTTCAAACTAGTAATGCAACAGACTAAGGCTGAGTCAAATCAGAGCTTTCCTGATAATCTCTGGGACCTTGTCCCACTGTTCTGCCCTCCGTCACATCTCTCTGGGACTTGGCTTTTCTAGGGCTGACTGGAAAATAAGACAAGAACTACTCCAGAAACATTTATGCAAGCAACCACAAAGCAAACCAGGATTTGTTCCAGAACATGGAAAGAATTATTAGCCTCTTTATTACTTGGTTTATTGGAAAAGCTTCATAAGAAAGGCTTCTTTTTTTTTTTTTTTCTTTTTTTTTCTAATTTCCAACCAAAATATCATGCAAGGACTTCTGCTAGAGCTGAGTGTCTGAGAAACAGTACTAGCATTCAGCTCTTAGTCTGGTATGGTCAAATTCAGAACATCTGCGAACTGCTTAGTACAGAGCTTGCCACGATACAGCAGGACCAGTAACCACCAAAACCAGTAATCACCCAAACCAGTAACCACCCAGTCATATCCACCAGCTTGGTCATCCATATACATAAAAGATTCCCTCCCATGCACAAAGAGTGAAGCTGGTGCAGAGTGGTATCCTTTGCACCTGGAGCTGAAAAAACAGATTGTGTGGGGAGGAAGGACCAAAGAAGCAGAAAGGTCCAGGAGGAATAAAACATGCCTACTCAAAATAGAGGAGGAGAATTTAGCTCAGCCCAAGCACTGAGAGGGAGAAGTGTGGGAGAGGTGTGCCTGTGGGTGAGTAGGTCCTTACCAGCAGCTGGAGTGGGGCAGTAGCTTATATGCCCAGGTACCAGCAACTGGGAACACTGGGATACAGGGACTGCTACTGGGCAAATTGAATGTCTGAGCCCAGCTGCTGGTCAGGTCCACATTGTACATATGTGTATATATATATATATTTTTTTTTTTTTTTCACTTACAGTCGCCTGTTCAGCTAGAGAGGGGAACAAGATAAAGCCCTTGATGCTGTTTGTGCTAGTGGTTGTGTGAGCACTGAGCATGTCTGCATGTGTAGATCTGTGTGCCCTGCTGTCTGTATATGCATGTATACCTATATATACGTATGTATGTATCTGTGTATATATATATATATATGTTGTATACTTGTGTTTGTGTTCCTATTGGGAATACATGCTGAACCCACCAGTTGGACCACAGACCATGTAGCTGTAGCAGCCTGGCCTCTGCTGGGCTCCACCTAGCAAAACCAATTGAAAATGCTAGCTAGCTGAGATGGAAGACCGTGTCACCTTGTAATTGCTATGAAGCTTGAAAAGCCTGGAACACCCCTGAGAGCAGCTTTTGTAGTCAGTATTGTATGCAAAGGCAGCTTGCCAGTGCTGAACTACCTTCCCAGCACTAGCAAGGGAGCCTTACAACACGCAGTAATGGCTGGGTTTCCTCTCCCTGGCAGGTATATTGGCTAGGACCCCCCAGACCTGTGTCATGTGCTTCAATACATCAGTATTTCATTTCAAAGCTGTTCTTAAAATCCAGGCTAGATGTAATTATGTATCTTTCTGAAATGACACGGCTGAAGAAGAAAGTCAGGAAATAAGAGACACCTGACATTTGAAAAAGATGGGGAAGACAGTGTTTGAGCAAGAAGCAAAACACTATCACTCTACCAGCTGAACATACACAATGTTTTCCTCTGCTTTAATGTCACAAGAAGGTAAAATCGCTCAAAGCAAGCCAGATCTCTTTATTTTTGTCCTTACCATATGGCCTTCCCTTGAAACAACGTAGCATACCCGGCCTCCACTGAAGAATGTGCCACTGGATGAACCAGACGTAGACAGTGCCACAAACAGGGACATGAGCTGAGCCATGCCAATGACCCAGGACTTTGAGGTGAGAAAAAGTTCACAGCATAACATCACAGCTCATAATTGTATAAATACTCATTGAAGAACCAGGCAGGTTTCTTCCCTGCATTATTCTCACTGATGTATTTTTTTTTTCCAAAGCCTTTCTAACGATTTAAAGCCTGCTTCCAGTTTCCATAATATTTAGTCACTTGTAAGTTTGACATGCTCAGAAAAGGCAACTTTCCTTCCTGCCTGGTGTATATATATCTACATCTGTTTACACTGCCATGGTGTACAAAGCTGTCATAGGAGGTACCCCCCCCCCCCCGGTTTTGTGTGCAGATGCTATAGTGCAAATCCTGGATATGCTGCTATTACAGGCAACAGTATTAGCTTGCAGAAAAACTGTTCCCACAGGACCTGAAGAAATATCCTGCATTATAAACTCTTCCCCAATATCCATAAGAATATAAGCCTTTAATCCCATATTCACGTATATCTGCTACTCTGTGAATCAGGCTAAAGCCAAAGAAATTGTTTGAATTTCGTAAGTTTGATTCTACACCATGTTCAGGCATTTACGGTTTGCGTTCTCTGTAATAGGAGTAGCAGGGTTACAAACAGAGTTTGAGGTAATTATTTGGGAGATAGGATAATCTTCTCACCTAAAAGTGAAGCTTGTCTTCTGCAATAGAGCAGCATGAAGAATATGAATTGAGCATTAAATGCAGGTGTTTGGAGTAATTATCACGTACACACACACAAAACCAAACACACTGTTCCCCTCACTGGCAAAAATCCAAAATTCAGACTTTTTTTACAACCCTTTCCAATTCTGAATCGTGGCTTTGAGCCATATCTACTCTTTTTTAGTATCACCTATCCCAAGTATCCAAAATCACGAGTTCAGCTCTCCGAATTCATGGCAGGAGTTTAACTACCACAATAATTTCAAAAATATAGCTTGTAAGCTTAATATCTGGGTTATGGTCCTTCAAGCTTCAAGTTAAGCTAGTTGCAATAACCACAACTAAAATGTCTCCCTTCTGAAGATGATGGAATCTGGTTATCTCCTATTACCATGTGACTCCAGAACACAAGATCTCAAGGGATAACTACATATATCACAAAATCATTTATAAAATCTTCAGCAATTGTGTATTTTGCATCTGTGAGATTGGTGCTCTGCTGTTTGGACCCTGAAAATGAACTACAGGGGGTACTCTGAGTAACTCCTTACAAGCAAACTGAGATCTGCAATTACTGTTAAATCACTGGCATCAAAGAAATGCTGGGGAGAGTTTCATGAGTTCCTTTTGTGGCTGAACCTCTCACCACTGAACAATGTATCTCTCTGGCAGTTTTCTTCTTATATGGAGAATAAATGCATTTCAATGTGACATGTCTTCCTCTGGCTTCTTTATAATCCTCCCATCCCTTCTCAATGACCGGAACAGATGCACCTTTTGCTTGTAAATCACAGCCATTACACCCTCCTTAGCCTGTAGCTCTCTACCTGTCCTTTCACCTTTTGAGTGCCCAGCTTTTTGGTCACTAGTTCGATGTTTCTTACTGAATTGCACTCTCGGGGTGAAAACGTTAATCAGGCAGGAAAAAGAGATGTGTTAAAAAGGAGGAAGCTCGAAAACAGCTTGTTAATCAGGAATGATGGGAAAGGAAGTACAGGGAAAGTTTATGACATTGTGGCTTAGCCAGGCTTTGTAACCTGTTCAAACAAGGCACTAGACCTTTAAAAGCTCCTACTTACAGTGACATGAAAGGCTATTAAAGAATACGTCTCGCAATAACTCAGTCAGATCTTCAAACTGGGCATCTTGTGTAATGCACACAGAAGCAAAGCTGCTGCTGACTTACTAAGAAGAAGATGAGAAGCAACACAATCCCTGTGTCATCGTTTCAATCAGACAACTCATTTAAGGCTGTCATGGATTCTGTGTCTTTGGAAATATTTAGAATAAGGCTGGATGTTCTGGTGGGAGATCATCTGGTTAGAAGTCAATAGTGTCTACAATGCTCATGACTGTCCTTTTCTTCTCTTGCTAAAATCCTTGTCTTGCACAAAGCCTGTCTGATACCACCAAACACTTCAGGTTGGTGTAAGGTACAAATAGTTTCTGTACAACTCTGGAAAAGTACATGTCAACTTAAAGATACAATTACCAAAGGCTGCACAAACCACGTATAACACTTCTCCTACTCAAAGGTGTTGTAGACACTAGTGTTGTTTTCCATTTCCCCACGGATGGAGAAACTGATCCAAAAGGCTCTGGTCTCGTCTAATTTCCAGGTGCTGAGAAGACAGGATTCACCCAGTTGGCTCCTGTCTCACTCCCAACCCATTGACTCTGCACTAGTGGGGCAGCACACTGTCCTCTTCATTTTTCTGGAAATATCTGAAATGTGGGGTATCTCCCAGTTCCCAAGTCCAGATATTCACCCTCACTGCATCTTCACTGTGGGGAGATGCTCCTGGTATACATTTCATTCCCCTCTTTCCTGTCCCCTCTGGCCACTTTCCATGGGGGAAAACATTAGCTGGAGGGAAGCCACACATTCCCAGTGGGAATGAATGGGAATGGGAAGTAAAGCATGTGCTGCAGAGCACCCTATCTTGGCAGCCTACGTGCACCTCAGAGACCATGGGCCAGACAGGGCTGGTCAGCCCTGACCTTTGGTGGGGAAAGGCTGACTTAAAGGTGACAGAGCAGGGACTGGCAGCATGCTTCCCTGTAGCATGGCCTGACAGTTCCTCCTGGTCTGATCAATGCAGTGCTACCATTCCCACTGGAAATGACAGCTAAATCTCCTGAAACTCAGGAGAGAACCCATATTTCGCTGGACTGCATTGGCTGTGTTGCCACATGCAGAGCTCACTCCCAGGTGGCTGCCACAGCTCCTGAAGACAGCAGTTCAGACGGAGTCATGGCTGCTAAGTAGCTCATGTTTACCAGCAAATACAGGCATGTAACCAAAGGAATGCCAATCATCACAGCTCTGGGAAGGGTCACCTGGAAAAGGGATGACAAGAGTGTTAGGCACAGCACATTTACACCTGCACTGGACTTTTTTGTTTTGTCTTTGCCACCACCCATGTCTCTCATTCAAACTCCTTTGCTCACTAAGCATTTCACAGAACAAGACATAGATTGAGATTCATGCAGCAGTTTTTACACCAGTCTCCCAGAAATGGCAGGCAAACAGTAATGCTTTACATTTTAGTCTTTAAAAAAACAAACCAAACCAACCAACAAAAAACCCCCAAATTTTATTAAAAAATATTTTGCTTCATAGCTGCCCAAGATGCCGTTGCCTGGTTACTTCTTGATTACTTTAATATTGATTTTATTTGTTACTAGTGTGTTACATCTCCTGATGTGCTGTGTCTTCCCATGAACATCCTACCGACACATGTGACGTACAAGTGCGTGTTGCATCACATTTAACTCCTCTACAGGTTAAATCCAAGCAGGGCAGTGCAAAGGAGATATGCTCTTGGAAGGATTTTAATCTTTTTCTAGTGACAGGGTGCAATCTTGGAGCACCACAGATCATCTTAAGGCTCAACAAAATCAACAAACACTACCTTATGCAGCTGAAAACACTGGAAAAAAAGAAGTAGTAAAACCAGGAATATCAAATTTGCATTCCCACCATAGGACAAGATATAGCAAATCCTTATGTGGTTGCTTTCACTCCACAAGGGTGTGAATATCAGTGCTCGAGGTCCTGTGGGAGAAAGTGCCACATGACCCTAGGATCTTTGCTGACATTTAGGTTAATATTTAACTGTGTATTTTCATTTTATCTGTAAAATCTTTTGTGCTGCACTGGTAGAAAGCACACTCTATACACATTGCACTCAGCTCTTTCTAAAAAAAAAGGTTGTTCACTGCCTATAGTGTCTGATCTGTGCAAAGAGGTGATACGGCATGGAAAGGGCTGATGTGAGATGCAAGTGAGCAACTTCAGTGCCTAAAGCACAGACAGAACAATACCAAAAAAAGTAGACAGTTAAAGACAAGGTCATTCAGGGAGCCAGATTCCTGCTCCAGCAATGCTTCGCTTGCTTTGAAGCTCCCCCTCCACGCAGTGAGGAGAGAGATAAGTGGGGTTTTGATGCATACATTAAGGGTCAATTCTTTTACGTGGTGTTAAGAAACCTGTATGGAGTATAGCAGTGAGTGCTTTTCTGCATAAATCTAGGTGTCTACAGTGAGATCCTCTAAACACTAAGGCAAAACTTCACCCCCAAAACATTCAAGTGCTGCCTAATATTTTTTTTAAGTCAATGGAGTATTTTAGTGTTTTCTTATAGATGGGCTGCTTTTTCACCTAGAAACTCATTTTTATCCTTTCTGGACACATCCACAGGTGTCTTGTCTTAAAAGACAGAACAAACATGAAGGAAAGCTCTATAGTCTTTCCTCCCTTCACTGCTGCTCAACACAATCATTGACAGAATCACACTAGCAGCAGGATTAGTAAGTAAAGCCCAGCTCACTCACTCACCTCAGGCTTCTTCAGTTCCTCGATTACATAGTTCAGGTTGTTCCACCCATTGTAGGACCAGAGCTCCTGGTAAAATGCCACTCCAACTGCCCTGATACCTGTGGTCGTGTTCTGAAAAGCGCTGTGAAAGCTCTGAGTTTGTCCTCTGGTGAGCAGCACCAGTCCGCCTACCACGATCACTAGCAATGCCAAGAGCTTGGCAGCTGTAAAAACGTTCATAACAGATGTCGCCAGCCTCATGTTGAGACAGTTGATGATAGTTAAAAGCAGGATGCAGGCAGCAGCTGTACATTTGATGACAATTGGTGGAGATGAGCATCCTGGGTAGAACGGTGCAACAGCTTATTCAGCAAAACTCAGACAGACAGCTGCCAAACCAGCTGGTCTCACCAGGATAACAGAATTGTAGGCGACAAGGAAAGCAGGAAAAGAACCAAAAATCCTCAAGATGTAAATATATTCTCCTCCAGACTCTTTAATTATGGTTCCAAGCTCAGTATACGACAAGGCTCCAAACATGCCCAGGAGACCACACGCTCCCCAGATAAGCAGGCTGCTGGCAGGGCTCCTCATATGATCTAGTACCCATTCAGGGGACATAAAGATCCCTGAGCCTATCATGGTGCCTGCAATTAATGACACTCCACTAATCAGGCCGACTTCTTGCTTCAGTCTTAATTTCTCCTTCCCTTCACTCACATCTGTGGATGAATGAGGTGAATCTGTTGTCTTCCTCATGGTGGAAATGTTAGGAGATGTTTGGAGAAAATTTGTAATAAGACTGAGGCATTTCAATAAGGACTGTCTCAGGCTTTTAGGGTTAAGTTAATGGTTACAAAAGTCACACTGAACACTGTCATGAAACACAAGCTTACCTTCCACATTTTGCATTCTTTCATTACCCACCTTATCTTGATAATTTATCATGGTTCAGATCCTGCCAAGACTGATTATCTTTGAATGTCATTGCAAGCAATGGTAATGGAAAGCATTTAACACCACCACCTTACTGGACTATGCCTCTGATCATCTCTGCTTTAAATTATGCTTCAAATGGCATCTGAAATAAGGATCAGTTAAGCAAAATCCCCATGCAAACCTGTACTTTATGCTTTGATTACAAGTTAATGCTCAAGCACCTGCTTTAGTCCTCAGTCATACATTCATTCCCCACTATGAAGTGATAAAACAAACAAGCCTGTCACCGAACATGCCATGGCTTTGCTCAGTAAGGAACATTTACAGTGTCTTAGTCAAAGACTAAGGAATATTCTGCTAAAAACAGTCCAGAGACTGTTCTTCTTCACAATACTAGGGCACAATTCTGGCTTTTGCAAATTTTAGAAAGTGCAGTAGAGTGAAAAGGCCATAATTACATTTTATGGGCCCTTTTTGCCAATGCACATGAGGTATGCGCAGATTACGATCTTCAGAGGACTTCGTCACTGCTCACCATACATACATTTCAGTACATACCCAAGAGAAATGAAGCACAAGCTTTTGAAAATGCCACTGACTCCTACTTTGATATCTAACAGGTAAAATTTCAGACTCTGGGGTAGGTTCTGCTATAAATCTGAATATTGCTACAGTGCATGAGGGTGTATTTTGTGAAATGTGATATGTATAAATTCTTGAGCAGACAGGAATTTCCATATGCCTTCCCCTCAACTAAAACTAGACTTCCCTGACCACAACTGTAAAGAAGGAGAATTACTGGCTTGGTGATCTCTTGCAGACTCCTGTTGTGATAAGTACCAGAAAATGAGAGTAAGACCTTCCTCAGCCCTTCATGGAAGCAGCAGACCTTGACTCTTTAAAACTGTTCATCCTCCTCAACCATCTGAGCTAAAAAGAGCATGAATATAAACAGAGAAGTATTTTTATAGTTTGTCTAAAAATTCCTTGTCTTCTAAATCATTTAGTTTTCTCTTTCTTTGCTTTAAAATAATAATTAAAAAAATCATCTCACTAACTTTACAGTTCTCTGCAAATAACACTTGGACTCTTAGCAAAACTCCCATGCCCATAGGAAAAACAACATACACAAGTCATAATTTCTCATGCTATAGCAAATAAAGTTGCACAAATTTTAGCATCAGGTTAGAGGCTTTTAATTTCTTCAAAGAAGCAAAAAAGAACTCAAATCTTACTGAAGAGTAGGTTTTTTTTACAGTATAAATCCTATTAATAGATGAAGGAAATGAGAAAAATTGGGGGGGGGGAAGTTGTGAGTGATATTAGAAGCTATTCCTAATGCCAACTCATTTGTATTCACTAGAAACGGATTGCAGCTGGATTTCTCCTAATTTCAAAGTCACTAATAAAAATTCACAGCTGACCAAGCTGTAGCTTTAACAGAAGTGAAACATTACTTCATCTGTATTGAGTATGTTTTCAAGTCTTCTTAGCCAAGATGCGAGTCCTGATAATAAACACAGGCACCTTGTACTGCAGGGGTATGAGTTAATGCATTTCAAGTTAACGGTTTGCAAAGTGCTTGAGGACCTGAAGGGAGGCATCTCAGTAATGACGAGTATTTTGTTTTACTTCTACTAAGTGACAGTGCTCTTGCTGTTAGTTGGTTTAGCTATTTGTAGTGTACTTGTTAAAAAATGCTAATCACAATGTCAGGCCATGTCATTCCTGTCATCCTTCAGAGGTCTAAAGGTCTGGCTTTTTTTGCACTAGAGATACTCTACTATGTGCATCCACACGCGTATTATGTTTGCCAATTCTAAATAAAAACATATTCACAAAATATGGTTAAACCAACGTTAAAGGAAAACTCGATATGACTACAAGTAGTTAAGTATCATTCTCATAAGCTTGCAGATATATTTCCATCACTGGTTTCCTGCTTTAATGAAGAAGTTTCTTTTCTGAAATGAATATGCAAGGTTCTTGAAGGGCCTGAGAGGATCTTTTCAAAGTTCTTGGTTCTAGAAATGAAGAACTTTTAATCTAATGTTGTAGAAAGAATCAGAATGTCTTCAAACTTGGTCATGTCAAAAGAATTTCTGTAAGACCACTCACATAACCAGGACTGATTAGCTGGTACATCAATAGCCTCAGTAATTTCCTAAAGAGAAGTCTATTTCAAATCCCAGGATCATTGTTACTCAGTTCTAACTGCTTCTATCTAAAGTAATAATGAATCTAATTAATCATTGTAAGAACTGGAGGCTATTCCTGTGAAAACTAAGACAGCCTGATTGCTTTGGATCTTTTTTATTCCCATTGACTTGTTCTTTTTTTGACTGATACTAGCAGTAAGGAGGAGCAATAAGATATTTTAGTCAAACCATTGTCACAACTGCAATTTGTCAAAATTGGCTATGTAGAAGGGCACCTCACTGCCCCCCTTCAGGAGCGTATAAGGAGGAGTAAAAATAAAAGCACCGCTTTCTCTGTATGTGGAGTAGCCGAGCTCTGTTGCTCAAGCTGTCACATGACAAATTCACTACCTAAACGACTCTCACTTTTCATTTCCCTTTGACATTGCAATGGGTGGTTGCCATCTACTGGTCTCTAAACAGTAAGACAGCTTTGTCCAGTGAAACATGGCTCAGTCCACACTTGGTTTTGGTATTTTGCATTGCTGATTAGAATGAAACCCTGCAATAAGTATTAATTCTTCAATATTAGGGTAACACAGCATATACTTGAGTCGTGAATGGAAATTCTTCTCAATGTCCTTGGTGCTATTTTTACCTCACCAATAGCTACAAGAACTAGAGAAAGCTAATTTAAGGTAAAGGCCAATGTCAGTGGTAAGCACCAGACAAAACATGTGGTCAAGTATTTGCAATATTTAATTTTAGGTCCCAGGAGTCATATTTGGAACACGGTTATGGGCTTGGCTTCCCTGTCCCACAGTTGGGAAAGAGTTACAAATCTCTCAGAATGGGGACTAAAAATAACCCACAGTCTGAGGATGGAGTGACCAACACCATTGCCCATAACTTCCTTTGGAGACAGACACCAATATTACACTTACAAATGTGTGCAGGGATCGAGATTTTATTTTTTTACATTAAAAAAAAAAAAAACACCACCAAACCCCCAAAACCAGACACCAAGTTGTATGAGGTACTAAAGGTTAGAGAACTCATTCAGGATGTAAGATGTGAGTTTGATGGCCTTCTCTATTTGAGAACATGGAAAGCCACAAATCCAGGCTGAATAAGCTTCCCTTCACAATGCAGGCTTTGAACTCTAATTGCAGGCAGATCTTGGTGCCCACACTTGTGATGCAAGTAGAGATGCCTGCTTGAAAAAGGGGGAAATAAAACCTAGTGAGCCCTGAAATAGGTCTTGAGCCCAGAAGAAAAATTGGGGCAGAGGGAAAACATTCCCCAGGTGTCCTGTGTGAAAACAGAAGGGAAGAAGACTCATTTAGAAATATGTGCCTGTGGAGGCTCTATAGTGTTTAAGCCTCTACCTCTCCAGTGCATCCTGGCTCTTCTCACACCTGAGCCCTGTAACAGAACAGCTTTGGGCCTTCACCCTGCTGGAGGTAACCTGGAGCCAGCAACTCCATTTGTGATGCCATCAGCCCTTGTGCTCCAAGGGGCCAGCAGCACTTGTTTGCCCCAAGGGACCAGAGTCTCTGGCATGCTTTGCAGCAGAGAAGCTCTGACTGGGACTGTAAAACTGCCAGTGTGAGATGTAGGTAGCAAAAAACTCAACCTGGGTTACTGGGAATAGGACTGGGGTAAAAAAAGGCATTTCTGAGGATGCACAACAGCCCTAGGCTTCACAGTAAGAATAACCACTAAAACAGAGCTTTTTTAAGTTTGGACAGCAACTGGCTTTCCCTGTCCTGTTACAATAGCAGATCTGAGCCCAAGGGATTAAGAGGGAACCTAAAAACCAAGAATTTACCATAAACTGAATTAGAGCTTCCTTCCTTCCCTGCAGGGGGGCCACAGAAAGGTGAGCTCAATGCTCCCTGGTCTTGCTCAGTAAGGGCTCAGCACAGCCTGGTTCTGCAACTATTAAACTTTAAATTTAAATGTTTGCCTTTGTTTTACAGATATACTGCATAAAAATTTACTTGGTATCCCATGTGTTGTAAATCAGATACTAAATATTTTGTGTAGTTATCTTACTGTATTCAGGAGGAAGCTACTGCATGTTCTCTGGGCTGCTCTGTTGAGCTGGGCACAGGGCAGTAACAGCCCCACTCTTACATGCTGAATGGCTGTACTCTTAAATAACTGTTATAGAAGATAGCGATGGAATAACACAAGAACCACAGCTGAAAATAAAAGAATTACAACCTTCATGAGTACTGACCCCACTGCTGCTTGCAAGGTCAAGGGTTGTGACCTAAAGTTCAGTTTACAAACATTTTATTTTTATTAGAAATACAAAATAATTATTAGAAATTTTTATAATAAAATTATAAAATACTGCTTCTTATATGATTATAATAGCATTCTGAAGCTAAACAAGTTTTGCTAAAGCCAAGAAGGATTGCATTTTCCCCACTAGGCTCTGCAAACACTGGAAACCCATGCAACCAGAGAAGATCCTAAGCGACCCATTGACAGCAACCCAGGAGAGTATCTGTGTAAGGGTTCATTCTCCAGGCTGCTGGAGCAGTAACTTCAAAGAAAAAGAAAAGAGCAAAACAACAGGCTTAGACTAATGCTGTCCTCAGGATTCCACTTTTTGGCATTGCAGGCAGTTTCTGTATCAAGTGCCATTGCTACATTTTCTTTCACTTACTGAAGGAATATTATACAAATTTCTTCCTCTGTTCCTCTTCACATCCATATTTTCTTATTTTACAGCTATATATATAC